ATCAGGAATCCATTCTAAGGGTCAGATGTTCAGCTGTTAAACTAGAGGCTTCCCCTACCTTGTGTACCTACAGGGCTGGGGCTCCAGGAAGCAGGAGAGTAACCAGGAAGATGAATAAATTAGACCACAGACTGATAGATGCAGAGACAGGTGAACACAATGTTAGCAGGTGAGGCAATTGGGTACAGAATCCAAAGAAGCCAAGGTCAGGCAGTCCACTAGCAGGTCCCATGGCAGGTTGCTGATGGCTCCCAAGATCAGCAGGCAATATGGCAGACTATTGGCTCAAGTCTAAAGCAGGAGATATTAATGAATCAGATACAGGATCTTGATCTGGCAAAAAGGGAGCTAGATTCCCCACTTATGTAGAAAGTAGACTACATGTCTGAAGAAATTCCTTCCTATTACGTTAGGGCTATGACTGAGTAAAAGGGCTTCACTCAAACCTCATATTCCTACAACTGCTTGGCTGCTCACAGCAAATTCCATTATGGAGATGATTGCGTTACGTTAGGTCACATTAGGGGGATTACCAACAAGCTGCTGAAATCCTGGCCTCATCAAATTGACACAAAATCTCATTATCGCAGAAGTTAGAAGTAAATTTGGAAAAATGCATCTTACCTCTAATGTGCATTAAATATACACCTGTGTGAAGTAACCATATAGCCATCTTTGCCTTTCAAAGTATTTTTAAAATTATTTAAGGGTTTCCTTATAATATCATTCTTTTGTGTTCAATGTTTGTCTGTAGAATGCTAATTGTGTGCGAACAAGTGAGTGAAGAGTGGTGCAGCCATACTGCTAATGAGGGCTCTTAATATTTCTCTTCTCTGGGTTTACAGCGCACCTGCAACTTATCAACACGTGTTACATATTGTTTTGATTTTTCTCTTTGAACACAATAACAGGCAGCAGCCAAGGGAGTTACTGCCAGAACCAAAAATCCTTGCTGTTCACTGCCTGAATGAATAAAGGGTAAAAAGAGAAAAAGTAAGAATCTAGGAATTCGAACATATTTTTAGTACAGAGCTACGACAGTGAGCAAAGCTGACTCCTAAGATTCTATTCATTATATTGAACAATATATTGTATTCTTTTATCTCCCAGTAAGATTTTAATTTCTTTCAGAACTTGGAGTTTAAAATTGATATAATTAAATTCTTTACAGATAATTAGCTTTCTTTTTAGGAAGTTTTGTTCCTTTTGAGAATTACTTTATGGGTTTATTCAAAGAGTAATCAGATTGATTGTTTTTTCTTCCAACTGTTAACAATACAAACCAAAATCCTGTGATGGGTATTATACCCATAAACCCTTGTAGATAATTTGAGATAATCAGAGGTTTGTTTTACTGTTCTTTGAGAATAAAATAATGTACAAAAATTGGATGGCTTATTTCTTCATAACATTGAACATATATAATTATACTATATATTCTATACTATATATCTGATATATGCCTATACTATAAAAATGTACTATATATTCTATATCTAGATTTATGGTGTTCTTTGTCTTTTCTAAAACATTTTACACAGAAGCAGTTGTGTGTGTATGTATACAATATTAGACATTCTCTTGCAATTAATAATATCTTTATGTAAAATAGCTAAGGAAAGAATTATGCTTTACAGATGTAAGTTGCATAGCGTTTTAAACATTTTTCTATTTGATAAACATCTCTGAGGCACAAATAAGAAATTATAGAGGGAGAGCTCTCAATTTTTTACATTGTCCTATTCCAGAAACATAAAATTATTTTTGGAAGGATCAATTATGTATATTTAGAATTTAAATTTATATTTAAATCTATTCATTAACAACATCTTTGTAAGAAACACTTTTGACTCAGGTGGCAAATGTCTATTGATGATCCTTATTAAGTCAGACACCACTATTTATTAGAAGAACTCTGAGTGTCAACAATGATGAACATGTATAGTTCAAACAGATTTTAAAAAGCTGTAAAGTAACTTGCTTCCAACGGTTTCTCCCACTCAATGCCATAAAAAAGAGCCCTATGGAAGCATTTAAAAGATGTGTTTTCTTAGAAGACTTTCTTTCTAGAGTAATAGTGATTGGACAAAGTCTCTAAAAAATATTCTGAACTTGCAATTTCCAAGACTTAGTTGTCTACAAAACTTGATATACATAAATAATTAATGTGACTATATTGTTTCTAATGTACTGTTTTTACGTTTATGCAATCAGTGTTTCTATAAAGGCAGTATCAAACTAAAATGCATCATGCCCATAATAAAAACCTAAAATAGTTAAAAATATGCTTATAGTTACGAAGATAAAGATATGTATTTGTATATCTACTAATATATTTACTCTTAAATACACATAAAAGGAACCAATGCGTACTGAATAATTCTTCTTTTGATTGTCCAAACAGGATATTATTAGCCAACTTTAATGCTAATGATATAAAGCTCTATTACTCCCAATAATAATTATTGTGTTACAATATGAAGATTAATTTCAACTGGTAAAAACCTAGATGTATCTATTTCACATAAAAATAACTCATCAAATGCCATTAAAAATTCAAACCATTTTACCAAACAAAATAAAGCAGAGCTAAAGTCTAATTGAGCTCTGATGGCATAGTTATGTGTCTTTCTAGGAACCGCAAGGTCAGTAGTTTGAAACCACCAGCCACTTTGCCAGGCAAAGACTGGGCTCCTACTAGAGATTGCCAGACTGGGAAACTGACTGGTCGAGTCATACCCCGGCCCGTAGGGGCAGCTCTGAGCCACAATGGACTTGATGGCAGTGCGTCTGGTTTGGGTTATATTGTTCATCAAACAGTGCCAGTTATCAAAGCCGAGTTTTGAGATACGACTGTACATGTCATAGCACAACATTGCCTTATAGAATTTAATAATTAATCAATTTAACTGTACAGTTGTGTGCAGAGTTCATTGTAGCAATTTAGCTTTAGTTATGAAATGAATCAGCAGACGTGCCCCATTTCACATTAAATAATTATTGTCAACTTCCCCCCAACATATTATGTGTGTGCCCCTTTAAATATTCTTTGTTGATTTTGTTAGATGAAAATGTGAGTATATGTTTATTAATTTTGTTAGATAAAATGTGAATTATTTTCATATTAAAATGAATTTTTAAACGTAAAGTATGATTCAATTCTCATGTCTTTTGTCACTGTCTCCTATTTTTTATTTTTCAAATTCTGCCTCCTATTAGAACAATTAAATGTAATGATAGAATAAAAATTCACATTTTCCAGGACTCATCATATTTAATTATAACATAGTCATTATTATTATTATTATCTAGTCATTAGCACTTTGTGCAATGGAGCCTCGTGGAATTTCCCCCAAATTTCTATTAGAGGTATACAGCAGGATATTCTGAGAGCCCTCCTATAAAGACCAATAGAAACCACGAGGCATTTGGATAAATTTGTGAAAAGGGAACACACTATTCCTTTTCTGGAACATTAGCTTTTTACTTCTTTGCACTCAGCTTAAAACTCAACCTCCTTTGGAAACTCAGAAGAGCTTGCTACTCCTCATCTTAACTTGCCCCCTTTATTTCTTCTTGGTGGCCTACATGGATCCAGCTACCAGGATTCTTCAATTGTAGAAATACTGCCTTTTCTAAATTGATAGTATTAGTTTTTAACTTGAAATTTTCTCACTGGGTGTACGAGATAGTTGCTTCTCTCTGACTCTGACTTCTGAAGGTTCTGTTAATTCAAGTCTCAGTCATATTAATTTATGATTTAAATATAGTCATTCTAAATGCTAAAAATCACGACCCAAATAGAAGTCCGAATAGACGACCAGATATCTTGTAAACAGTCTTTAACCTTTTAAATGGATAAGAGGTGTAAGAGCTGTTAAGACTTTCAACTAGTGCAGTGCCATTACATTGGGACTATAATGTGCACTGCTATAATTTTGATAGTATTCTCAGAGTTACCAACACAGTTATGATGCCTTTGGCATATGTTGATGAAACAGAACTTGAAGTCATGGTTCTGGAATATGGATTTTAGATTTAGCTCAGCCACCTTCCTTATGCTAGCTTTCTTAACTGGGAACTGATTGTGGTAGCTACTTTTGTGAAATTTAAAATTTCTTAGCGAACACATTTTGAAAACACACTTTTAATATAGGCTTATCTATATAATGTTTCCCACTTAATATATTAAGAAAGAAGAGATGCATTATAACTTTTTTTAAGGGAACATTAAATTATCTAACTCTTTAAGGCAAAAGAATTAAAAAGTAATTTGTCTTACAAGAGTATACTAATAAAGGGAATCTTATATACAAAAGATATTATACTATATGTGTTATTATTAGCAAAAAAATATGTATGATTTTAAAATGACATCTGAATCTCTACGCTGTCTCCCTGAAAATAAGACAGTGTCGTATATTAATTTTTGCTCCCAAAGATGCACTAGGTCTTATTTTCAGGGGATGTCTTATTTTTCCATGAAGAAGAATGCAGTGCACATTTATTGTTTATTGTTTTTTTGAAATATAGTAGATTTTTATTATTTTTCATTTTCCATAAAATAAATACTTGCTACATAAAAGTCTCACCTAAAATGCTTAGTTACCTGCTCAGGATTACTAAGAAATTATTTCTATTGAAATTATAAATTGCTTGACTTAGTAAGAAACATGTTTTTCCCTCCACTATTTTAGTATAACTTAACATTCCAGGATCATGAGGTTTAAAACTTTAAACTAAGATTTCTATGGCAAATGGTTACAAACCCAACTGTAAATACTTATATATATATATGTTCCCAGATTTGAATCTACACAATGTGAACATCAGCCTTTTCTGTCTGCTGTTCCCCCCTCACCTTGCAATCTGGCCTGACTTTGGAGAACCACAGTACTCCACTGGAGCAACTCTGCTCCCCTCCCTCCTCTCCAAGACATTCCATCCTGCCTGTTGTTGCATATGGGAGGTGACACTGGCAGGTACAGCCCTAGGGTGCTGGCTAAACATCCCATGTTGCACATAACAGGCACCCACAACAACTATCTGGTCTACCATGTTAAACAAGATTAAGAAACCCTGTTGCACAGGATGAGTCAATTCCCATTTTATGACCAGCCTGTTGACTTAATTCTGAGAATACATACTTTGTGATTGGCAAAGACTACTTAAAAGGAGTCTGTGGCCCACTGGCTCAGTGAAAGCGTGAATTGGGAGAAAAAATGTGGCGCTCTGCTTCTGTAGTGTTGGAAGCCTTCTATAGGGTTACTATGAGTTACTATGAGTCAGAATTGACTCGATGGCAACAAGTTTTGCTTATTCGTTTATTTAAAAGGTTTAATCAGTATTCACTCCTGCTTCTGACTAAAATCAATAGTTGCCTATAAGTATTAAAACGATACTGCCCGGGAGGCGCGGCACAGCGTGCTCTGCCTCCAGTAGCTTTTGTTGCGGGGCTCTGAGACAGGACGGTCGGCTGCATTGGAACGCGGAGGCAAGACCTTTTGGACAGATCAGATTCATTGTCACGATGCCTGAAATAAATAGTGACCATCTCGATGAGCAGCAGGTCCAACTTCTAGCTAGATGTGTATTCTCATGGATGAAAATGAGAACAAAACTGGGGCTGAGACGAACAAGAATTGTCATCTGAATGAAAACCTTGAAAATAGAGGATTATTCCATCGAGCTTTTAGTGTTTTCTTATTCAACACAGAAAACAAACTTGCTTCAGCAGAGAGCAGATGCTAAATTACCTTTCCAGGTTACTTTACCAAGACTTGTTGTAGTCCTCTATTATGTAATCCAGAACTGAAGAAAATGATGCAATTGGAGTAAGACTAGCAGCGCAGAGGCGTTTAAAAGCTGAGCTGGGAATTCCCACAGAAGAGGTTCTTCCAGAAGACATGAATTTTCTAACACGAATTCACCACAAGGTTCCATCTGATGGCATCTGGGGTGAACGTGAGATTGATTACATTTTGTTTGTGAGGAAGAATGTAACTCTGGATCCAGATCCCAATAAGATTAAAAGTTGCGTTATGTGTCAAAGGAAGAAGTAGAAGAACTTTTGGAAAAAGCAGCCTGTGGGGAAATTATGATAACTCCATGGTTTAAAATGATTGCGGAGCCTTTTTGCTTTAAATGGTGGGATAACTTAAATCAGTTGAGTAAGTTTCTCGAACATGAGAAAATACCTCGAATGTGAAAATAGGGATGAATAGTAAAGTCTACACTGCTCTCCGTGGTGAACTTAGACTGATGATTGTGTGTTTTGATACTTTGCCTTTTTATTAGGAGAACACTCATTTGGTGCGTTGATGATTATACAATTGAAAAGTTATATGGAAAGGGCAGCTGACTTAATTCTGTATCCTTTGCTTATTCATATGTTGCTATTTGAGAAAGTATTATAAAAGAGCAAAAAGGCAATTTGATCTGTCCAAAAACATATCCATGACAATTTTGGATGAGAAAAGCTCTTAAATTTTTAGGTATTAGGATATAGATGTTAGGATAAACATTTTCAGAATATTTCTAGGTCAGTGCGCTGTTTGCCAGTCACTTTATATACCATTGAATTTGTAATGTAATCCAGAAAAGGAAATAGGAAACTTATTTGCTTAGCTCCTTCAACACAGTTCTAGCTTTTAGGATTACCAGATAAAACTCGTCAAACAGGCTAAAGGGGAATTAATTAGCCTTGCAATAATACATTGATTTTTATTGTTCATTGTTTTATTAAAAGAGACCTTGCACTTCCTGTCTCCTCTGGCTGCGCTGTGGCCAACAGTGAGCTGCGCGGCTGCGCCCACCGCTATGGTCCCGAGTCCAGAGTTATGGTAGCTTGGGGGGGGCTTATTTTCCGGGAGGTCTTATTTTCGGGGGGATGCCTTATATTTCAGCGAGAGGCAAAACTGTAAGTAAGTCTTATTTTCGGGGGTAGTCTTACTTTCGGGGAAACAGAGTAGTTTACTCATAATAGGAAAAGAATTTTCCTCTCAGCAATTAAATTTCTTCACCACATTTTGCACCTGTATCTTCTCTGTTGCCTTCCTGAGGGCGAGTATCGAGCAGGGCCATGATGTAAGAATTAATTGTTCTTAAATTGGATTTAACATTTAGTGTGAGACCTTAAACCATTTGTGGATCTAGTTTTTTTCTTTCTTATAATTTGTTGTTATTTGGAATTAATGCATATGTCACATAAGTCCATCGTCAATCATGTGAAGCGGAATTGTACAAATGCTTCCAAAATAACTCTCCAATCATACTTTTCCTTCCTGGGCTCTTTGACATAGCCTCCCTCTTACCCCTCCCCTCTTAACTCTCCACTCACCCCCAAACAAACAAACAAGCAAAAACCCCAATCCAAAATAGCCCTAGATCTATTTGCTGTCTCTAAAGGCTCATCAATCCTGGGTTTCAATTACGGAAAAACAGAAAAAAGAAATAATAACACAATTTCAAGAGGGTGGTCCCCAATGGCATAGCAGCTCTGAGATACCCCCTAATGTGAACAAACATAAACAAAGTAAAACAGGTTGTCCCTCACAGGATTGCCAGAAAAATACATTTCTTAATATAGCATATCGGATGTGGATACAGCAAGACTTTGTCTGTCAACCAATAGCATATCGGGTGTGGATGCAGCAAGACTTTGTCTGTCAACCAACAGGGCACCCTTCTTGAGACAGCTGTCTTCAGCTTCCTCAGACCCAATGTATTTTCTGATTTAAATCCTCGGGTAACAAGTGTGTCTGCTGTAGAATCCAGTCCATCCAGTGGCGGTCCCACTTGGGGTCTCCCCAATGCAGCCTCGGGAGCGGGTCCTGCACCCTAAAGACCTGGGAGTCGGTGTCCCAGCATTCCATGGCACACGACCTGGGTTCCCTGGCTACCCCCAGATGCCTGAGGTCAAGGTTGCCCACCTGCTGCACACCACCAAAGATATTCCCCACCTAGTGACTCCAAAAGCACTTCAGTCATTTCTCCCCACACCTGGAGGTCATCCCTGTCTTTGCTCCCACTAATAGACATGCACCTCTGCTCCCCCAGATGTGACCATTTCCTCTCCCCTCCCCTGCACTGCCCCTCCAATCAATAAGCCTCATCCCTCTGACAAGGCTGCCTCTCTCTCCAGGAACCTCACCCCAAGTTCACTTTGCTGAGATCCACTCAGCAAGGTGTACTCCTCCTCCCCTGACCGTTTGATCCTGGCTGTCATGAGGTGCCCTCTGGTCAAGTGACCTACAGTGGGTTCTGTGTGTGCTGCCTGGGCCCCAGTCAGGCTCCTTAACAGGCCTCTGGACTCCAGCCAGAAGACCTGACACTCTCGAAGCCTTAGTTCGTTCTAGTTCTGCAGCTTGTTCCTACCGCAGTGGCCTCAGACAGGATTTGTCCTATTGTGCTTGACTAAGTTCACTCAGCTCAATGTCTCCAGATCTCTCCATGGCTGCATGTGTTTATGGTTTCATCGCTCTTCTTTGGGATGTGGAGTGTTCCATTGTGTGTATGTACCATGTTGTTTTGTTTGTTTGTTTGTTTTTAAAGGAAATCAATTTATTTTACTTGAAAATTCTGCAAAACATGAGTCACTTCAAATTCTATCACTTGAAGAAAATTATTGGTAACATGCTGGTCATTCTCTTTCTATTTATCTCTGGATATGTCTATGCCAAATCTATTTTATAAAAATGAGTGATATAACCCATGTTGTTTAACAAATTAAATTTCTTTCTTCTTTTTTTTTAAAATCAATTTATTGGGGCTCATACAATTCATCACAATACATAGATCAATTGTGTAGAGCACATCTATACATTTGTTGCCCTCATCATTCCCAAAATTCGCTTGCCTCTTGGGTTCCCGGAATCAGCTCATTTTCCTTTTTTCCCCCCTCCCCCTCCCTTCCTCTGCCCCCCTCCCCATGCACCCTTGATAATTTATAAATTATTATTATATCTTATATTACACTGCCCGGCGTCTCCCTTCACCTACCCCTCTGTTGCCCA